CCCCAAAGCGTGCTGCCAGCTGGAGCCTCTGGGACAAGATTCCTTCCCCACTCTGTCTTCTCCAAGCCCCAGGGGAGAATGAGACAGGAAGGTTCCTGGGAGACCTGAGGGCAGACCCCACCACTTGGGATCACCAGGAGGGCCAAGAGCAGGCCAGCGAGGTGACAGTGGGTTGTGCTAGCTCCTATCCAGCCTCAGCAGGGCGATGCCATCCCCGGGGGTAAGCACCCAGCCTGGGCAGGGTCAGGGTAGCCCCTGCCCCCTTCCCTCTCTGGTCCACGTGGAGCCTTCTGTGCAGTCCAGGGTCTGGGAGCACTCCCCACCCCATGGGACCACCAAGGACCCCCTCTTTTGGGGGCTCTGCTAACAGCATCTCCTGGTGTCATTAGCAAGACATGAGTGGGCAGTTATCCACCCCCTTCCAGTGCCAGCCAGAGGGGGAGGAAGGAAGAGTTAAGATCACCACCACGCATCACCCATTGCTATGGGTTGCCTGATCATGGTCCTTCAACTAGTCCATTAACAGATTTGGCTTAAAGGAAGGGCTATGTCTTGCTGGAGCATTGCTGCACGCAGAAAGGGACCTGGAAATACAGGCACTATGCTGATGCACTGTATAGCTATTTGATCCCAGCTTGGAAGAGCTGTTTATTAAACGCCAGCAGTTGCCTCGCTCTGCTGTGCAGTTTATCTGAGCTGTGCCTCTGCTTTCTGCTCCATGCTCCCCTTTATAGACCACAGTTGCCAAAGACAGACAGAAATTTTAGTCTGAACCTCAACAGGACTGAATGGGGTTGCAAGACATAAATAACAACTTCAAAACCTGGACTTTCAGGCCCAGTTTGGTGTGAGCCTTCCCTACAGAACTGCATGTGAAAATCTTCTTTCCTGGAGCCTTAAAACTTGTCCGTTATTTCAAGAAATATGATTGACACAGATTTTATGGTTGCTACATAGGTTTGGGAAGGAAGAGCATAGAAGTCAGGGCATCTCGTGGGCTTGCCTGCCTTACATGCCTTCCTCTTCCTGCTTGGGCAATTCCCAGAAGAGTACGCCTGTGCTGAAGAGTGAGCTCAGGAGAGCTTTCATATCATTAGATAGAGAGGTGAGGGTGAAACCTTCATAAACAGAAAATAAAACACTGGCAATAAGGCATCCGTTTCCATCTACCACATCACAGTCTATTAGAGAGCTTGCATTCCTGTCATCCCGCCAGCAGAAAATATCATTGTGCTCATTCATAAGTGCCCGTGAGTGAACAAACTTGTGGGGATTAATATCGAGTGTCACTTCTTATTAGGTTCATAAGTATATCCTGGCAGCGCTTGCCCGAGGGCTGTAACACAAAGGGAGAAGGTGACCCTGAAGGTACCAACCTGCTGTACTCGGACTGCTGTTGAGCACAGTGTCTGCTGAGACAAGCCTCCTCCAACTTACTACCAGCATCTCGAGCAGCTTTAGTAAGATGAAGTAGTTATGGCCCTATGAAGTTCCTCATTCAGAGACTGCTCATTTTTGTTGTGATCCAGTGCAATGCATGTCCGCACCTTTGCCTTCCCCAGCTCTGTTTCTATGTAACACCAGCACTGGCATCACACCTGGCTCTCGAACGGAGTGAATTACACCAGCATTTCTAGAAGTCACTTGCAGGACAATGTATGTTGCTTTAGAAGCAAAAGTACAACAGAAAACACCTTCTACATCACATAATAAAGTTTAAACCCCTTATTTGATATCAGAAAGTTGCTAAGTAAAAAAAAAAATCAGATGTAAGGTACGTTGACTGAAGATAATCAGCGCCTCAGAAAATAGGACTGCTCATTTAGAGCTGCAACATGTGGTTGGACGAGTGATGGTAGGTGACCACTCTGAAAACACCAGCCTATGCTAACAAGCACAAAAGATTTTTTTTAAAGAAGGAGCTAGTTAAGATTATGATTTTATTTTCTGCTTTTATTTTATATGACATCCCAGGACATGATTTAACTGTTGCTACTGCAAGAGTGCAGGTGGAGAGCCCTTATGGAATGCTAAAGCATAGTTTTATTCCTGGATTTAAATAAAGACAAGAAGCAAAGTAAGGAAGAAGAGATCAAGCTGGGAGAGGATATCACACACGGGTCTTCAATACAGAGCATCATATCTGAGTGTGGTCTGGTAACTAAAGTCACGGAGAGCAGCGCCAGAAATTAATGACTTTCAGCAGCTGGACATAAGGATCTTCTTAACATGCCATAACCCAGCAAAGCCTGCCTGACATGGCACCAGCAGAGGCTTTTTGCAGTCCTTCCAGCCTATACAGGCTGTCACGATGGTCAAAATGCAACAGGTGTCCATCTAGATGCTCCTTCCCACAGCGAGAAGCAAAGAGAAAACCCTCATTACTGAGTATTTCAACAGATTAGGAGTGAAGCTTCCAGCCAGTGACAACGGAGAACATTTAAGCACGTGCTTGGCTTCTGCAAGTGTTTGCATCTTGCTGTTTGCAATGGGATTTAAGTCTGTTGGCCGTTCTCATGAGCGGTTTAAGGTTCCTTCCGGAACAGAGGTGTGCCAGTGCATGTGCATAAACTTCCCCTGTGGTTCACACGCTCATACCTAAAGAGGTTGCTAGAGCTCAGCGTTGGTATCTTCTCTTTCTAATGGGGAAAGATCTACGTTGCATGCCCCTGGTGATTTATCTATCCATTATACCTGGAAATTGGATAATGAAAACGAGTAGGAAGAACACAGAAATCCAGCAGCAAAGAAGTCAGCAAAACACAATAGCTGTGAAAGCTCGGTGCATTCAAAATGTTCTCTCCGTCATGAGAGCTAAAGAGGCCTGGGTATCATTAACAGAACGATATGAGAAAATGCCTTTTATAAACATTAATTTCAATTTTCGCAATGTCTCGGCAATTTTTACATCGCTGCATGTGAATAAAATTACACACCCACCTCTGAATCACTGATGGTTGTTCATATTTACTATGGGTTTACACCAAAGGCAAGGAGGAAGGAGCTGCTTGCCACAGCAGAATCCGACCTTAACCAGCCACTCTGAGCACACCTCCAACAGCACCAATATCCCTTTAAAATATCTCCAATCACATATACTGAAGCAATAGCCTTATGATGATGCTACAGAACCTTGAGTCCAAAAGTAATGAAATTTTCTCTTCTTAACTCTTTCTCTCTATTTTTTCCAGCTCTTCTCTTCCCACGCTTAGAAAAATCATATCAGCCTCCCATTTGTCAAACAACTGAGATCCTTTATTTTAATTATAGAAAGTTGCTGTGTTTTTCTTTTCTCCATATTTGTGGGCTGTATCAAAGGCATCATGTTTGGGGACTGATTTCAGCCCCTTTCATTGACAGGAATCTCTGGACTGGGCTCTGAGTGACATTTGAGTGCTATTGGGATGCTAATATACTGTGTAAGAGTGTGTGTGAGTACGGACGTATATTTTCCTACGTTGAGCATGTTTCTCTTCTCACATCATCCAGAACTTTATAAAATACCCAGG